ATCGGATTATGTACTATGTGTTGTGTTATAGTCTTGGATAAGACGTCCATTGGATTGTGCAATATCTACTTTGGTTAATTCATGTTATGTATTTAGGGAAATAACCATTATGAATATGAAACAAATGACGTGTCGTGTGCTTTTACGGATCCCCATGGTCAAGGGCTAGGGGAAAAGAATGAGATGTTTGACGTCTCAATGTCACAGTTAGCCAGGCTACATTCAGTTTTTAAATATTAATTTTTGGTTCGATCTACGCAGAATGAGCTTAAAGTACCTTGAAGGCTTGTAATGGTATGCTTGGGTTTGGGTTTAGTTTTGTTAATTATAGGACCCCAAGCGGATGGCAGCACCCATCCATATATTTTTTAATTTGTGGAGTCTGGGCACTAAGTGTCCGCAGAGTCTACTTCACCTGAGGATGCCTCGTGCAGAGGCGAAACACGTGTCGTATTTTCGAGAGTAGTGTATCGTGCCTAGTGTGGTGGTGCTAGGGATGGTAGTGCTGGGATTGACGGTGACGGGTATAGCGCGCGATTGAGGGATGGTGGGAGGTCGAGGGAGAGTGGGAGGTCCCCTTAAAACTGGGCAGGACACATAATTAAATATATTTTATCTTAAAATAAAAAAAATATCTACAACTTAAATAAATAATTAATTTGTATGAAGGTCAAGAGAGCGCTAGAGAAACGACGATTGCAAGACGTTGTCGATAAAAAAAATGTTTTCAGAAATTATCAATTACCTTTTAGTGGCGGTGCAAGAATATCCATATCATCTCGTGGATGCCGGAAGAGATTTGGGGAAAAGGGTTATTTTTATATAACCGTGAACATCGTTCAATTAGAACGATCAATAACGTGACATTATATATACATTTTAGATTTAGTTAAAAGTTAAAGTTACAGTCTATTACTGTACTGTACACTGCTGGGCACAGGCCTCCTCTCATTTCTGAGAGGGTTTAAGGGCAAGAAAATGTCCGCCGCGCTGCCTCCATGCGGGTTGGCGAATTTTACGTGTCTTCGAATTTTTTTCTTATTTCTCAGACATGCAGGTTTCCTCTAGATATTTCCTTCACCGCCGAGCACGTGGTAAATCAGCACTTAAAATTGCAATTAACAATTTCATTTGTGCCAGCGGGGATCGAACCTGGGTTGCTCGCGTACTGTGAAATATATACAGCGCGCACTAACCATCTGAGCTTCCACGGTTAAATTTTATTGCAATAGTGTATTTGTATTTCCTTCTTTAATATTATTTTTTAAATATACGAATGTCACCTAACCTAGCCGATTATGCGGTTTTTCTAAAAAGATCGATTTTCAACTGGATTTGAATCGAAATCTAAAATACTAAAATACTCAAATAAATCGAGATTTAAAACATCGTTTAAAATAGATCTTATTTGATTTACTTTTCGAGTTTTTATTTACACTACCAACAAAATCGATGGAATAGAATCGAAAGTCGACGACGAGGCCCAAGTAACTTGTAACAAGTAACTTGCATTGACTTTGTTCTATATTCATGCTTGATTTAAGTTGTAAGTTGATATTTGTTTTTGTTATTGGTCCTATTATTATTCATAACAAGTAGGTATAATTGCAATGATACTGAAATGGTAACTTATTAAATTTAGTTACCTATATACTAAAAGGTGATATTTTGCAGAACTAATACATGATATTCACAGATGTCAGATGACATTGACAGCTTATTATGTTTTTGGCTTTGGTTATATAGCCTTTTGCCATAGTACACTATATTGTTATTGATAGCACATGTTAGCTATATTTGATTTAACTTTATTTTACCTACAAGCAATATTCTAGTGTAATAGTTACTTAGTACTCTGTTTTTCTATTTTCCTTATATATTTTAAATGCTTTGCAAGTTTATTATTTTTTGGTCTTCTATTTTGTTGTAAATTTGTATTTGTTTCCTTTTATTTCTGGAGTTACTGTTAAAATTGTGAACAGTTAGCCGGAGGGTTTTGTGCAGATGATGAATCTTTTTATTCTACTTGCAACAGTTCCTCTTCCCTTTCACTTGCTGATGCTTAGGATGAGTCGCTACATACGTTAACTACGTGCATTAATTATGCATTAATATATGAGGAATCTCAAATTTGTTAAACTGTTTTCACATTTGCCATTTAAATGCACAAAGTATTCCTCAACATAATACGGAGCTCCTGGATACTTTCTCCTCTAGTGCAGTTCATCCTGTACTCATATCGGAAAGCTGGCTTAAGCCAGAACTCTCATCCACGTTTTATAGTTTTCCAGGTTATATTTTACTCCGTAACGACCGCGTTGGTAAAAGGGGCGGAGGTGTCGCTATATATCTGCGTAGTGACCTTATAAAATATTAAACACGTCTTAATCTCTATATTCCAGTTCAATGGAATATATTTTTATCGAAGTTGATGCCAAGAGATTTTAAAAAGTGTTTCTTGGAGTTGTCTACTGTCCACCTCAAGTGGACCACTTTTCCGATTTGGAAGTAAATTTGTTGCCTTTCAGTTCTGCCTACACACATCACACTATCATGGAAGATTTTAACACTGACCTATTAGGGGCTTCTCTCAAATTTTGCAAACTGAAATCTACCATGATGTCGCATAATTTCACTATTTTGTCTCTAAATGCCACACATCACAACTTCCACTCTGCTGACACCTGGATCGACCCTATAGCCGTCTCCTCCGTTGAACACGTTGTCAATTATTGACAATGTCCTGCTATGTAGATTAAAGTCTCCCAAGCCTTTATCCGTATCTATCGCTATTCGAAGTCTTGCTAGACTAGATATAGACAAGCTTAATTGTGACGCAGATGCTATTAACTGGTCATCTGTGTATACTGCTTCCACATTTGATGAAAAAGTTGACTTCTTTAACAGCAACATATTAGGACTGTTTAATGAAAATGCCCCTAAACGTGTCGTTCAACTTAAGCGTCCTGCTGTTCCATGGATCACGACTGGGGTAAGAATGGCTATGGAAAAACGCGACAGAATGTTTCGTGCTTTTAAGAGGAATCGCACTGATACAAAGTGTCAGGCATAAAAAGCTGCGAGAAATCGATGTAATCAGGTAGTGAGAGCTGCTAAAGCCGATATAACCACGAACAAGTACATACTTAATTCATCTTCGGTTTTCTTGTTGACATAATTTCTTTACTGAGAGTTATTTACATACATAACCGAGGATTATAAGAAGGTATGTATGACTCATTCCTTTTTCTCTTTTACAAATCATAATATAATTTAGTAGAAACATAAGTAAAATGATGTTTAGTTGCATGTTAAAAATAGGTATGGTCTTAAGGTTAATAAAAATAACGAAAAAGTTCGTTCGTTTTAATCGGTCATTTGACTGAGTTTGTTAATTGTAATTTAAAGTGCTGGTTTACCTTTTCCTCACTAAAAAAAAATCATAAGTTAAAAATAAAATAAACTAGAAAATAGTAAGTGTCGTATTAAAATACAGGAGTGGCGCGAAAATCTTTTCCCGGTCCATTACCCACTGAAAAACAAGGCCTGAGCTCATCAGAAACCTCAGTAACATTGACATTTTCTAAGACAGACCAAGTGACTCCTAATTTATTTAGCATAAAAATAAAATGTCCTTTACCTAAATGATCTAACACAGAGGGTAAAGATATTTTGAGGTTTGTTTTCTCTTAAGATTAATGACTTTCTTTACATAATCGAATGCCTCCGAGGTTATTTTATTTTAAAACTTACCAATATATTTGTAAAATTGATAGTGATCATATTAATATTAATCATGTCTCAAATTACTGTTATAAATTATTGTGGGGAAAGATTTCTGAACTTATAAGGAAATAGATATATTATATGTAATGTATACAAACTAAATTAAACTGAAAAGATGTTTGCTTTATTTTCAGAAACAAGTACGTAGGTTGACTAATTAATCAATTCAGCAGACTACTCCTTATGTAATTTACTCTTACACTCTCTTATATTATTTACTATTGCGAGAAGTTCCATTAAAGTTCTGAATACGGCGTTCTCAAAGATAAATTAATTTCACAAATTAATACTGTTGTGGGTATTTGTGTTATTGTAAACGTAGGTAGTTATGCCATACAATAAATCAGTTGTTGTCTCGCTAACGAACGTGTATTATTGCAATCACAACATGGTGTCAGAAGTGGGATTATAAGCATAGTAAATGTTTAAAATCGAGTACATCAATAGAATATTTTGCAACATACATATGTATAGTATAATATTTTGGGAAGTTGTGAACCGCGGATAAATCTATTCAGAGATTATTATAACGAGTGCTCCAATTAACAATGGAGCACGCGCGGCAACCTAGCGAATTACAGTTAGAAGGCGGACCCGTCAGCAGGGCTGATGCTTGGAAGAGGTGGAGACAACAATTCGTGTTATTTATGAAAGCTTCGGGTGTGCACTCGGAGACATCGGCAGTAAAGGCAAGTTTACTTATCAATTTAATTGGTTAAGAAGGATTCGACATTTATCAAACTTTTACGTTCACTAAAGAAGATGATCGTGATGATGTGCAAATAATTTTGAGTAAATTTGATGAATATTTTGGAACTAAAATTAATATTATATTGCTGAGATACAAGTTTTTCACGCGTAATCAAGAAGGTGAATACATACAGCAGTATGTTACGTCATTGCGGTTATTGAGTAAAAATTGTAAGTTTGCAACTTTAGAAGAAGAGCTGATCAAGGATCGAATTGTTTGTGGTGTGAACAGCACAATAGTCAGGGACCGTTTGCTCAGATGTGAGGATCTAGACCTGGACAAAGCGGTGAAGTTGTGCCAGGCCGAAGAAATTTCGCAAGAGAGTAGCCGTTAACTAAGTGCTAGTGGTGCTGGTGTGTATGCTAGTGTAGTGCAGGTAGACAGTGTCAAACAAGGGAGAGGACGACGCGACGCGCAGCACATAGGCGCCGGGCGCGCCTCGCAGGGCACCGCGCTGCAAGCGTTGCAAGCGCTGCAAACGCTGTGCTTCCCGCGCTGTGGAGTCGAGCGCTGTGCAACGCCTCGATGTCCGGCCGTTTACGCCACATGTTTCACTTGTGGTAAACAAGGTTATTTTGCGCGGGTATGTAGGCAAAATTTAAATAATAAGGCCGGTTTAAAACATGTATATGACATTGAACAAAATCAAGATGTCACGCGTTCTTTTGATTATGAATCGTTTTTTATATCAACCATTAGTGGTCAAGAGGATTGTTCAGATGGTTGGTTTGAAACATTAACTTTTGAGAAGGGTATCGAAAACTTTAAATTAGACACGGGGGCGGATATAAATGTTATATCTTTTGAAAGATTTTTGCAACTGGGTTTTGATTCCAATATGATAAAAAGTGATCGTATTAAATTAGAGTCGTATAGCGGTAATATAATACCAGTAAGAGGCGTTTGTTATCTACAATGTTTTTATAAAAATGTTCGTTATGATTTAAAGTTTGCGATAGCCGATTTGCGTTGTCAAAGCGTGCTGGGGCGACAGTCGTGTGAGAAGTTAAGGTTAGTCAAGCGAATTCATGAAATTAATATATCGGACTACGATGACTTATTTAGCGGTATTGGGTGCCTACCAGGAAAGTATCATATTGTTTAGACGAATCCATACCTCCGGTGATTTCTACTCTTCGAAAGATTCCGTTAAGTTTACGTGAACGTCTAGCAGATGAGCTTAAAAATATGGAAAACCAAGGTATAATAAGGAAAGTTTCTCATCCAACTCAATGGGTGCTTCCACTAGTTCTAGTCGCAAAAAAGGACAATTGAATTCGCGTGTGCTTAGACCCACGAGAACTTAACCGTGCAGTGCAACGCGTGCATTTCCAATTGCCCACTGTGTCAGAGCTCGCAGCGCGGCTACACGGAGCGCGCTTCTTTTCGGTCTTAGACGCCAACTCAGGTTTTTGGGCTATACAACTGGATGAGCAGAGTGCAGACTTGTATACATTTGCCACACCGTTCGGTCGATATCAATTTCTTCGCTTACCGTTCGGTATTAATTGCTCTTCCGAAGTATTTCACGCGAAAATGAGGCAGCTTTTAGAGAATTTAAAGGGTACAGACAGTTTTATAGATGATATAATTGTCTGGGGACAAAACAAGCATGAACACGATAGGAGACTAATTGCATTGTTAAAAAGAGCTAGGGAAATTAATTTAAAATTTAATAAAAAGAAATGAAAAATAGCAGTTGAAGAAGTTACCTACTTGGGTCATATTTTTGATAAAAACGGTATGAGGCCTGACCCTAATAAAGTAAAAGCCATCTCTGAGATGCCTCAACCCTCGGACAGAAAAAGTTTGGAAAGATTTTTGGGAGCCGTTAATTATTTTTCGAAATTTATTCCGTGTTATTCTGATCGCGCTCTTCCCTTAACGAATTTGTTAAAAAAAGATAGTATTTGGCGTTGGGAGCTTAGTGAGCAGACGGCATTCGACAAATTAAAAGAATATGTTTGCACAGCGCCAGTGTTAGCGTTGTACGACGTTTCACAGCCAGTCTTGTTATCGGTAGACGCATCTCGCGATGCACTCGGTGCGGTGCTACTGCAGGGCGGTCGGCCGGTTGAATACGCCTCGCGAACTCTTACAGATACGCAACGCCGGTATGCTCAAGTGGAAAGGAGTTGTTGGCAATTGTGTTCGCCTGTGAACGATTTCACCAATACATTTTTGCAAAAAATGATGTTGTCATAGAAACAGATCATAAACCATTGAAAAGTATTTTTAAAATGCGATTAATGTCCGCCCCAGCCCGCTTACAACGTATGATGCTTAGAATACAAGGCTATGACTTAATAGTTAAGTATAAACCAGGAAAATATATGTATATTTCAGATGTATTATCTCGCGCGCCGCTTCCCGACTTAGCATTAGATGATAAATTAGAAAAATTCTATGTCAAGTAAAATTAATTGTAAACAGTATTCCAATTTCAAATAACAAGTTAACGCTGATAAAAAATGAAACGAAAAAAGATTTTGATTTGTGTACTTTACTAAATTACATTAAATTAGGATGGCCTCATGATAAGTGTAACGTAATAGAAAATCTCAAAAAATATTGGTCTTTAAAAAATGAGTTATATGTGGTAGATGACGTCATATTTAGAGATAATGTTGTTTTAGTCCCTCGTTCCCTGCGAACAGATATGTTGAAAATTGTACACGAAGGACACTTAGGTATAGATCGGTGCAAGCGACGCGCAAGACAAGTAATATTTTGGCCAGGCACGTTTCTATGTCACGTGACATAGAAATGTATGTGAAACGTTGTGCAGTGTGCAGGGAGAGCTCAAACGCACCTACTAAAGAACCCATGATTCCAGTAGAAATTCCTGATTAGCCCTGGTTTAAGGTTGGGTCTGATTTATTTGAATATAGGAAGACATATTATCTTATTTTAGTTGATTATTACTCTAGTTTTGTTGAAGTAAAAAAATTAGAAAATATTACATCACAAGTGGTTATACGCAGTATGAAGGAAATATTTTCACGACACGGTATACCTGAAATACTTATAAGTGATAATGGAACTCAATATAGTAGTCGCGAGTTCAAACAGTTTAGTACAGATTGGGGATTCACTCAATTTACATCCTCACCAAACTATCCACAGGCTAATGGAAAAAGTGAACGTGCGGTGCAAACAGTTAAGTCTTTGTTAATTAAAGCTTATAAGGGGAATAGTGACTTTGAACTTGCTTTATTGAATTACAGAAATACTCCGAGACATGGTTTGGACTTTCCCGCGCAATTACTAATGGGTCGCAGATTACGTTGCAAATTACCAGTGTGTGCAGAATTACTAAAACCACAAGTTGCAGACCCATCTCAATTTAAAACAATGCTGCAAAAACAGCAGCAGTCAAAAATGTACTATGATAAACATTGTAGAACGTTGCCTAAGCTAGATATCGGTGTCGAAGTAATATGTATAGATGGTAAGAAAAGGACCCGCGCTACTGTAATTGATCAAGGTGATACACCTCGTTCATATGTAATACAAAATGAGCTAGGAAGACGAATCCGACGCAATAGGCGTCATTTAATTAAGTCTTACATAAGTCCAGATTCTAAAAATATTAAAAAAGATATGGACATCACTGTAAACCGAGGAAGTGGCAATTTTGTGGGAGAATAATGCAAAAAATTACATCAAATCCCTGATAAGGTGACTCAGCGTAACGATAATTCTAGTTTAAACGAAAATAAAATTGCTAAAAATGGGTTTAAAGATCATAATAATGAGGCATCCACATCATGGCCACACCCTCTCACACGTAGTCGGGCACGACGATTCAACATAAAAATTGATTAAATTGTTTTAAATATTTTATTATTACGTTAGTACTATAAGAAATTTTGTTTATTTTTAGTTATTTTTTTTTTTGCACAGGAGGATGGATGATATTGTATCTTTATTAATAAGGGAAGATGTTGTGGGTATTTGTGTTATTGTAAACGTAGGTAGTTATGCCATATAATATATCAGTTGTTGTCTCGCTAACGAACGTGTATTATTGCAATCACAACAAATACTATCTTACAATTATTAACATTATTATTCATGTCACAGATATTTCGTAAGATATTACTGAATAACTTTAGTAAAACTGTGAAGCTAAAAATGCTATGTGGTAGAACTCCTTCCCTGCCGAGTAGTCTATCTGGATAGGTATCACTTTCTTACCTATTTCTCTCGCCAAATAGCAGCGTTTGCATTGCTCCGATCTGAAGGAAACAGACAGTCTGTATGATTACAGAGTAGTAGGCATTACATCTTAGTCCTCAGACGTTTTTTGGTTGAAGTTTCCTGCAGGTATCAATGCACTGCAGTAGAAACTTACCATCAGATGCACTGTGGGTTCGTTTGTCATCTCAGTTTTATAAATAAATAAATAAAGTCATTTAAACAATATTTATCTCTTAATATAAATGTTCCGTAATTCATTGATGGTCTGAGATGTCTTTTCCGTTGAAGAAATTGTAACAAAATCATAAACTTCGTGTTTTTCAATGCAAAATGATTACGTGATTATAATATAGAGAGTGAAAAACGGCGGGTGGATCAGAAGTAAAATGGATAGAAATAAGAAAAGAAAAAAGGTGATAGAGTGAGGTTTAATCATTATCATCATCATCATTACAGCCCTTCACAAGTCCACTGCTGAACATAGGCCTCCCCCAAAGAATGCCACAAAGCACGGTCCTGAGCCACCTGCATCCATCGACTTCCTGCATGTCTTACCAGATCGTCACTCCATCTCGTGGGGGGACGCCCTACACTTCGCCTACCGGTACGAGGCTACCACTCGAGAACCTTTCTTCCCCATCGGTTGTCGGTTCTTCGAGCTATATGGCCGGCCCACTGCCACTTCAGCTTACTAATCCGTTGGGCTATGTCGGTCACTCTGGTTCTACTGCGGATATCCTCATTCCTAAGTTTATCACGCAGAGAAACTCCGAGCATAGCCCTCTCCATAGCTCGCTGAGCGACCTTGAGCTTCCTCATACGGCCAGCAGTGAAGGACCACGTCTCAGTTCCGTAAGTCATCACTGGCAACACGCACTGGTTGTACAATTTCGTTTTAAGGTTTTGAGGTATGTCTGACGACAAGATGTGTCGTAGCTTCCCGAACGCTGCCCAGCCGAGTTGAATCCGTCGATTTACCTCTCGGTCGAAGTTGGACTTACCTAGTCCGACTATTTGTCCCAGGTAAACATACTCGTCAACAACTTCGAGCTTAGTGCTCCCAACAACTACCGGCATAGGTGTAACATGGACATTAAACATGATCTTTGTTTTGTCCATGTTCATCTTAAGACCTATCCGTTGGGAAACACTATTGAGGTCATTGAGCATAGTGCTTAGGTCCTCCAGCGATTCTGCCATAAGGACTATATCGTCGGCAAATCGAAGGTGAGTGATGTACTCGCCATTGATGTTGATACCGTATCCTTTCCAGTGCAGAAGCTTGAAAACGTCTTCCAATGCAGCGGTGAAGAGTTTCGGGGATATGACGTCACCCTGTCTTACACCTCTCTGCAATTGGATAGGTTTCGTACTCTGGTTCTGTACTCGGATAGCCATCGTAGCCCTACTGTACAAGCACTTCAATACATCGATATACCGACAGTCAACTTGGCACCGCTGAAGGGACTGCAGCACCGCCCAAATTTCGACGGAATCAAAGGCTTTCTCATAGTCCACATACGCCAGACATAGTGGTAAGTTGTACTCTTCGGACTTCTGTACAATTTGCCGAAGGGTATGTATGTGGTCTATGGTGCTAAAGCCCTTTCGGAAACCGGCTTGTTCGGGAGGCTGGAAGTCGTCAAGTCTGCGCGCGAGACGATTCGTAATGACTCTCGAAAACAGCACGTAGACGCGGCTCAGAAGGGAAATCGGTCTGTAGTTCTTCAAGAGACCGTTGTCACCTTTCTTGAAGAACAAGACCACCGCACTTCTGCTCCACGCCTCCGGTGTAATGCCACCATGGAGGACGGAATTAAAGAGCTTCTGAAGGACTTCAAGTACCGGTCTTCCACCCGCTTTCAGAAGCTCCGCTGTAATTCCATCCTCGCCTAGGGCCTTACCGTTTTTAAGGTGCTGGAGAGCCATTCTAATCTCGCTCAGACTGACGTCCGGGATATCTTCGGAATAGTGTCGGATGAGACTCGCTCTTGGATAGTTACTCACACTTGCGTGTGGCTCCAACGATGATATGTACAGCTGCCCATAGAACCTCTCAATCTCACTCAAAATCTCAGGTATCCCGGAAACGATGCTGCCACACTCCGTCTTCAGCTTTGACAGTTGGCTCTTTCTGGCAGACAGATCTCTGGCAAAGACTTTGGAGCCGTGGTTCCGCTCGATCGCTTCTTCAATACGAGCTGTATTGAAGTTGCGTAAGTCCCGCCACATGCATTTGGAGATCTGTCTGTTCAGATGCCTGTATGCTGTCAACTCTGTTGAAGAGTGTAGCTTCATCCCCCGTCTAACAGCCATGAGATTAAGAGTGTGATCGGAGAGTTTTTGTGTTCTTCTGCGGCGGCTCTTGCAGAACTTAGCTCCGACCGCATGGATAGTTTCCACGAGCTTGTCATTCATATCGTCCACTTCATTGCAGTCTTCTAGGCACTGAAAACGGTTTTGTAACTCGAGCTGAAAGGTTTCGGGACTTTGGATTAGAGCACGAGGGGGACGGAGCGTTGACTTCATTAGACGAGACCTCTCCAACTTAACGTTTAGGTTCAGTGTGCCTCTAACCATTCGGTGATCGCTACCAGTTTTCACCCTCGCGATCACGGAGACATCACTGAACAGTTGTCGTCTGGTCGTCATAATGAAGTCAATCTCATTTTTTGTCGAACCGTCGGGACTCGACCAGGTCCACTTCCTGTGGGGCCGCTTCTGGAAGAAAGAGTTCATCATAAAGAGTCCCTCTTTCTCCATGAAGTCGGCCAGCTGCTGGCCCCTTGGGTTCCGTTGCCCTATTCAAAATTTCCCTACTTTCAGCTCGCCGTTCTCTCTTGTGCCTAGTTTTGCATTGAAGTCTCCCATTAAAACCGTATATTGGGTTTTGGAGGAATGCATGGCTCTAGAGATATCCTCATACATTTCCTCCACCTCCTCATCGGGGTGTGCCGAGGTTGGTGCGTAAACCTGTATGACCTTCAGCGAATACCGTTTGGTGATTCTGAGTATAAGGTACGCAACCCTCGTCGACACACTCCCGATTTTTACAACGTTGTTAACGAGAGACTTGTGGACGATAAATCCGACACCTCCTTGGGACAGATGGTCGCCGTCCCGGTGATAGAGCAAGTTGCCGGATTCGAGGATTACCGTGTCCTCCCCCTCTCTTCGGACTTCGGATAATCCTATAATATGCCAGCGCAACTTGTCTATCTCTTCTTCCAGCTCCACGATCTTCTCATCAGTTCTCAGGGTGCGTGCGTTGTACGTTGCTAGGTCGAGTCGTCTAAGGTGGCAACCGAACCTCCACCGGAGATTCTTAGCACGCCCTGCCCCGCCGTTACCATGGTCGCCACCGTAGCCAGGAATAGCGGGGCCGCCGGGGACTGGGGGCCGTCTGTTTGTTGCTTTATTCATTGGGGGGTATTTGCCATAGTTGCCACGCTTGGCGAGCGGGTGGGCAACCGCAGTTTTTTTTTATTATTGTATTTTTGGCCATTATCAGGAAGATGCTGCTGCCCATCTCCTGCCTGTTTCCCTTTGTCGCCTTTTACGACACCCACGGGAGGATATGGGGTAGTGGATATTCTTGACCGCCACTACACGGCAGGTTTAATGTGAATAGTAAATTATTCTTACTCGATTCATCATTAAACCATGTAGTGGCGGTGTTACAATACACTCCCCCTTATCCCCATATCATCTCGTGGATGTCTTAATAGGCGACAGAGGGAAATAAATTCCAGCAGCGTCATCCTCATAAGCACTAAAAATAAAAGCTGCGGTTACCAACCCACTTGTAAAATAAAAAGCAAAGCGTGGCCACTATGGCAAATATCCTCCCTAATTATCCTCCCCATTATATGGGTGAGTTCTATGTTCAGCATTGGATTTTAATAGCCTGTAACGGTAACGGTAACGGATTCATCATTATCGTTTAGGGGGGATTGCGCCTTAATCGGGCAAATGGCAGGCGGACGTCCATTTTCGTCAGGTGACGTCCGGTTGACGTCGCAGTACCAAAGACTTCGCACCATTGAAGCTGCCGACCCATGCCTGTCTGTCCATTTTGCTGGTTTGATAGTGAACTCTCCAAATTTCATCATATTAATATAATAACTGCATATTACGTTGAAAAGTGTATATGTGCTAAATAAATGGTTATTTTTATGATAAAATTGTATGTTTAATAAAATTTACTTGTTTATCTTTAACAACTTCTTTTAGTCTACTGCTGAAGGTTCCCTTCAAGAATGTATTCACGTGGTAGAAACTGCAGCTGCATTATGTTTGCATCCTCTAGCTCGAGGAATGATCTGGCTCTCACAGCGTTTAGCACCGACAAAATGCTGCCGTGTTTCGTGTAGTAAGGTACGAGTATCGAATATACCTTTTCTACTGATAATAATGTATTCCTTTCAGTTCTTCGGTCCCATACATTGTCTGATATCTTCCGTAACTTTGAGTAATGCTGTAGTGATGCTGTTACCGAGACGAAATCCAAACTGAAAATCGCAAAGTAGATTATGTGTAAGTACAAAATTGAAGACTTGCTTATGTATATATGTATAGCAATATGAAGGTGATACTTGGGGTTCGATACTTTGGGAATAGGGCGTATGAAAGCCTTTTTCCAGAGAATTGGGTACTGACCTGAGTCCGGCGAAAAGTTAATAATGTGAGAAGGTGCAGTTAATACAAACTCCACTATATTGACTATCATAGTTCTACTGATTGTATCACAACCCACAGCCTTGGATTTAATTGCTAGAACATTGTTTTTAATGTCATCCTGGTGGACCAGAGAAAATTGAAAAAAAAAGGAAATTGAGGACACTGGATAGAAGCTAAATAGGATATCGTTTAAGATCGTATTGTAGTGTCCATAATAGGAGCAGAAGCAAAGTAGAGATTAATATCATCACAGGTAATAATATATCTCTTACGTGGTAGAGCCATGCTGCAGTTATATTAGTGGTATAGTTGTAGCACGAATGGGTCAGCCCGACCGGGGAAGGACCACGCTCTCATATGAATACCAGCGTAAAATAGCAGCTTAACACTGCTGTGTTTCGTATGGTGAGTGTAGAGAATCGAAGATCTTTTTTACTGGAAAAGAGGCATTCCATCTTAGTCCTCACGGGTGACAACGCATCTGCATTTTGATTCGCAAACGAGGATAATTGTAGATATCTATGGACCACAGCAACCACTTACCATCAGGTGGACTGTGTGCTCGTTTGTTACCCTATCCTATAAAAAAAACAAGACAGAAAAGAGGCGCACTCCAGAGTAGGCTCCATCTCACCCACACCAATTGACCTAAGAAACTTCCAGATGGCGTTACGCCCAATCTGATTGCATCTGTTTCTAACTTTCTTAAAGCATGTCCAATTCTCTTCCAAACGCTCTCTTTTGAAACGCTAAAAAACTACGTTCCGCTTTATCATCGACATCTATACTAACTCAGTCATCCAAGAAGAAGGTTGATGTTTAAGTCTAACTTTACGTACAGGAGCATGGGTATAATGTAGACTAATTATTTTATCATCAAAGATGGATCATCGTGTCATTGATAAATTTAATCGATCAAAATTTTATTATAAGTGTCACGCTTTAGTTTATCCAAATTTATTTTAGAAAAGTTGCGCAAGTTAATAAAAGTAGGCAAAGATTTAGGAGATTTTACCTTGAATGCAACATAAATGAGGAGGTGATGCGAGAATTGTGGAGTAGAACACTGATCAACACTGATGTCAGATGATCAGGAGAAGATGTAATAATAAGGTCAATCAAAGAGTCATTTGAATCTAAATTAGGATGTGTTGCCACTGTTGGATGAATGTGGATATTGACTGACGCAATCATTGTACGAAGTTTTTGGAAAAGGTTAAAATGTATCAAGACGTCGATGTTAAAATCAACCACAATTATGCAGCGTGCACACTCAGAGACAATATTGTCGAGAGCCGTTATATGCCATATAATGGCTATATGTCAATAGTCGTTGTTTTATACGTGGTAGAGCCATGCTGCAGCTATATTAGTAGTATAGTTGTAGTACGAATGGGTTGGCTCGACCAAGGAAGGACCATGCTCTCACAGAATACCAGAGTAAAAAAACAGCTTAAAGCTGCTGTTTACATTTGGTGAGTGTAGAGAACCGGAGACACTTTTTACTGGAAATGAGGCATTCTATCTTAGTCCTCACGGGTGACAACGTATCTGCATTTTGATTTGTAATAGAGAATTGATGTAGATGTCTATAGGCCACAGCAACCATTTACCATCAGGTGGACTGTGTGCTCATTTATCACCCTTATCTTATAAAAAAAAGTCAATGGAAGGCGGACAATGCACTACTCCATGAATCACATTTACGCCTCTGACGCTGACTTTTAAGAAGAAGAACTTCGGAGAACCTGAACAAAGTTATAAGAAATAAAAATAAACATTGTGTCAAAAAAACTGCAACCATAGTAATATTATAATTTATAATTATTATTATAATTTCAACTACGTTGACTTTTTTTGGGTTGAGAGTTACTAGATTTCAACTTGCGCTAAATTATTATATTCCACATCAGAGCATAAATAATACACAAAATTAGCAGGCGGTTTATTGATCGCAGCCTCAATTGTCTTAGTAACTTCGACATTGTTTCCTGTCGCTGGTATATCAAATATATTTCGGATACTATATCAAAGTTCATAAGACCTTATTATGTATCGAAGGTCACAAGATCATTTAGGCCATTCCCCTAAATCGTCTCTTACAACATCCATGGGCACACGGCGATTAAATGAAATAAATAATGGTTAGGTAAATGTCTATAGTATAGTGGTGGTTAAGAATATCCACTACCACATATCTTCCCGTGATTGTCGTAAAAGGCGACATTGGGAAAAATGCAGGATATGGGCGGCAGCATCTTCCTGATAACAGCAATAACACGATAAAAAAAACTGCGGTTGCCAACCCGCTCGCCAAGCGTGGCAACTATGGCAATATACCCAACTATGAATAAAGTTACGAAAGGTCCCGCTATTCCTGGCAACGGCGGGGCAGGGGCAAAGAAAATATACACTACGCAAAAAGAAACGACACTTAAGCATGTGTGCACGTAAGATCGCTTGCGGCTATGTGTGGGTGTCTGAATGTGTGCGAGGGCCTTGAAAGGCGCGCGGGGCGTGGAACGGGCCGTCGCCGACTGCCCTGGCTGAGGGCTAGCACGTAGTAGTAGTATAGTTGTTCGCGTCTCGTCTGTCTAATGTCACGCATCGCACGCATGCACGGACTGACTGCGCTTTATACAAAAACTAACAACGCACAACTAGGACCAAGAGAATATGGTGAGCTGAAGGTAGGGAAATTTTAAATAGAGCAACGGAACCCAAGGCGCCAATAGTTGGCCTTCTTCGTGGAGAAAGACGGACTCTTTATGATGAACTCTTTCTTCCAGAAGGGGCCCGACAGGAAGTGGACCTTGTCGAGCCCCGACAGTTCAAAAAGGTCCACATCCTTACCTCGATCCGGTCCACACCACCTCGAGACCGCGAAGTCGCACCCATTCTTCTTAACGGAGACCTAGATAGTAACTCCGTCTGATGTAGCGTACGTAAACTACCCAGGTTACATGCCTGAACTTGAGTTTAAACAACACACTGGTGTCTGTGTGTACGTCCGCGACGACTGTTCCTGTCGGTGTCTCCGTTGCCTTCAGGTTTCAGGGTTTTCTGCAATGTAGCTTTTGGAAGACACCAGTGTAGAAGCAAACCCTCTACGCCTGTGTCTATCGATCGCACAGTGGAGACCAGGAGACCACCAGGCTCATTAAACACCTGAGAAGGATGGCAGATAAAGTCGAACAACGGTATTCATCTGCAGATCTAGTTTTCTGTGGCATTTTAAAGGTCGGCGTTAAAATGTAAATCACAAATAGTGGTTGTCCCCATACGAGAAAACCAAACATGCTGGGAGAGAGGCGCACAAACTTGCGTTATCGCTAGATCTCACTCACCTAGTTCAAGTAGCGACTCGGGTTCCAGATGTAGCCGGACATACACCGAATTGCTTGGACCTTCTGCTGACAACAGACCCAGACAGGCACTCGACATCGTTCAGCTCCGCAGGGATCATTCGATTACTGTCTGGTGAAATCCGTATCGATAATTTCTCCACCGGATCACTACCCAGCGAGCACGAGGAGTGTATGGCGATACGAGTCAGCAGACTGGATTGAGATGCGGTACTTTTTTGTATCCTATCTGTGGCCACAGGTGTGCTTCTTTTTGTATGAACCCTCCTGCTCTACCGATGCGGTGGTGGATGTGATACGACAGGGAATGGAATATTTTATACCGTTATCCGATATCCCGCTTGGTCACAAAGCTTGGCCTCGTATCGGAATGTGCTCGTGCTAAGCCCCGCAAAGAGCCCGCTTACTGGGCATTAGTTCTAGCTCACGATCGCAAAGTTAGGGCTCGGAGAGTTCATGCAAAGAAGAGAGTTTTTAAATCTACTGCCAAATAATGCAAGCGGGTTCTTCACAGGGCACGATTCGACCATGTTAGTCGTATAGGGGACTTGCTTCCTACCTTCTTGGTAGTAAGCAATTTCGGACCCTGTCAGTTTCTGTCGAATCCAACTTCTGCCATCCCTCATTGCCTACCATGGAGAAACCTGATGGAACACTAGCTTATTCCGCGATTCAGAAAGCAAGTTTGTTTGCATCTCTGTTTGCGAGCAATTCTCGTCTAGATGCTGGCTCTAAACAACTGCCAACCCTACCTCGCTGTGATTCTTCGTACTTCTTTACAGAGTACGTTCATCTTCATACTCTGTAAGCTTATGGAAATGGTATTGGACAGCAGTTTCACTCGATATCTCGAAGGCTTTTGACAGGGTTTAGCACGCAAGACTGCTGAGTAAGCTTCCTGTTTACGTCATCCCCGCCAATTTATGCAACTCGATATCTGACTTTCTGAGTGAACAATCGATCAGGGTAGTACTGCTTTTCTACCCTGATGCATATTAATGCCGTAGTTTTTCAGGGGCCTGTTGTCTCTGAGACACTTTTCCTGCTACACGTCAATGACCTACTTCCACAAGGTATTATTGGTATGCAGATGAAAGCACAGTCACAGAGGGATTCATATACAGTGCAAAAGACGTAAGGGTAAAATGGAGTTCGTTTGATGTAACTCCTACTTTCCGGGGTACAAATGTAGAGGTGAGTGCTAACCTCAACTTTGGCTTAAACATTGAGTCAAAAGCATAAACTGCCGCCAAAACACTGAGAATTTCTAACAAGGTGAAGTAATATTTCACGAATGTGCAGCTTCTAACTTTAAACAAAGCTCAATTCTGAACCTGAATGGAGTATTGTAATCTTTGAGATGGCTCAGCAAATTATCAACTTACCGCACTCGACTCAGTTCAACACTGAGTCAAGAGACTTATCGGCGATAAAAAGCTGGTGGAAACTAAGCATCATAGCTTAGCTCACCGCCGCCAAGTAGTTTGTTTGTCGGTCTTCTACAGATTGTACTTCGAAGAGTGTGCCTATGAGCTCCATAAGCACATACTGCAATCTCCATTCTTCTATCGGAATTCCAGACGTACTGCAAATTACCATCCACCCTTAGTTGATATTCCGAATATTCACACTAAGCGCTATAAGTAACTTTTTATAATGAACACAGCTAAGGAGTAGAATGCCCTGCCGGTATCTGTTTTTCCGAGTGCATATAACTTTAACCTCTTCAATGTGCGTGTTAACAGTTCTCCTGGGCAAACCCGCTCCATCGTAAACCTCATATATGTCCTCGGACCAGATGGAGGTTAAGAGTGAGCATAGTTTTAATAAAAAAAACGAGCTTTGCAATGAGTTGCTACGCTGGGGGCCGATGGTTCGAATGCCGCAAGGAACAAGTATTTGTTTGTTTGTTCTTGTGCAATTTTTGTTTGTAAACTGCCTCCACGATACAGGAAAAAATCCTAGTGTGGGGGTAACGTTTTTAAGAACAAAAAAAACGTCAGGAATAAAAAGTAAGTGAAATAAGTCAAATTACCATTAAGTAAAAATCAGATGGGAGAATAAACGTGAGGTGAGCAATATTTTAACTTACCTTGATTACCTGATACCTGAAAAATGCTGGCCAAGCTAGCAGGTAAGCATGTGATCATAGCACATACACTAACTCTACTCAATCTTACACATTTCATTCGTCAGAAAATAAGTGATGCCTGGTGGCCATGGGATCTCGGACTATATAACAGTTTGTGTGAAATATCTAACTAACATCAGGCTCTACCAAAAATTTACTTACGGCAACAATTTTAAACGCAATTAAAAATATACTTATATCATGAATTGTTAAAATGTTATGTACTAAAAAGTTCAACTTTTTTATATACATTATAGTTACATTTTCCTTAAAAAAGTAACATTTAATCTCACAATGTTTGATAAAAAATACTTTTTATCCGTTAAGCATATGGGTGAAGTTTAGTTCGGATCTTATACTTTAAGTTTAATTTACATTTTCTTTCGCTATATAGTAAACTATGAAATCAATTTGCTTCATCGTAATCTTAGTAGTAAGACATTATTTGATCGAATATTAACTTTGTCAGTTATTATATCAATTGTAATCTATTTTAAGAACTAAAGATTAAAATGTGTATAGCAAAAAAGACATCACACTAATTCACTTCCGTTATATTATAAGATTTTGTTATAACATTATTCAAAGAGGAAACTCTTACTCCTATATCAGGCAATTTGGCAACGTTCGTGGCGCCTCATTTTGAATATAGAGGGTTGTTTACGTCCGCTGTTGTAGTTTGTGGTATTTTCTAACTAAGGCTGAAATATCGTTATAAAACTACTTACATTTTTATATCTTTGTTATTTATATATATATATATATATATATATGTATATATATATATATATCCAAATTATTAACAAATTACACCGTCAAGATTAGTATATTTTTTCTTAAAATAGCAGTGAAAATCGAACTTACAATCCACCTGATGGTAAGGGTTATCGATGCGTTGCCACCCCCTGTAAGTGCTTCACAGCCTGTACTGTCTCTCTATACCCTTCAGACCGGCAGCCGTGCAGGCGTTTCTGTTGGGTGGTAGAAATAGTTAAGATGGTAGTATCTACTCGGACAGACTAGACAAAAAAGAAGTATTTTTAGGGTTCCGTACCTCAAAAGGAAAAAAACGGAATCCTTATAGGATCACTTTGTTGTCCGTCTGTCTGTCTGTCTGTCAAGACCCTTTTTCTCAAGATCGCGTGGAGGTATCAAGCTGAAATTCATATCAAACACTTAAGTCCACTGTCCCTTGGAGCTGTGAAAAAATCAAATTTCTAAGCCATCGCAATCAAAAGATACAGTTGGTTATGCCGCAAATTTTCGACATTCGCAAGGGTACCAAAACATACAGGGTACTTCCCGTGAACTCAGAATCTTCAAATTTGGTACGAAGCAACGTATTATAGCACAGATAAAGGAAAATTTGCGAAAAGCATAAATTTTTAGTTACATCATATAATAAAAATATTTTTTATAATTTTAAGCTTATATACTCGTACCTACGGATTTGTTCGGTACCCTCGGTGCGCGAGTCCGACTCGAAGTTGGGCGGTTTTTTTCATGAGGATATGCCTACGCATACCCGTCTAGCGGAGGCAAGGATGGGTTATGTCGGACTCACACCGACTAAAACCCCATGGTGTTCCAACTTCGCCGTATATTGGTCGGACAACGGGAACGCTTTCGCACACATAAGCAGCCCCACCAGCGCCAGCCGCCCCATGGCAGCCCATTTTTGGGGAGACTTCTCCTCCCCCCTTTCTACTCAGGTAAGGCGCACCAGGAAACACAAGGCGCGCTTTCCTTCACAGCTTCTTTATGCAACTGCGGAACGACTCACCCGATAAGCGTAAGCCTTGGGGCCAGCAATAAACTAGCACTTGGAAGAACTAGCTAATCTGATCCTAGCGGGCAGTCCCAGCTGTGCAGGCACTTCTTTTGGGTGGCAAAAGTAGGTAAGATGTTGGTACCTACTCAGATGGAGTAAAGGAGTCCTACTACATAATATTTTTGCTACAAATAATACTGAAACAATATACTATATGTTTATTTAATTTGATGTAATGACAGGGGCCGTCTAGGATATAATGACAGACTGCAGACGTCGAGGAGCTAAGTTGTTTCACATCAGCGATATGTTATTTTACGCAGGTTTTTATTGAGCATTTTGTTTGCTCTATGTAAGAGAGATAACATTCGCAATCAAGCTTGTACACTCCTGCGTCCTGACATATTTTTGCCTGTGGGCGGTTTTACTCGGTTATTGTGTCGAAAGCGCGGGATTCAAAGCTTGTTGCCGTTCAAATCTTGCTTACGTGCTAAATCTCGGTGACCATGTGTTTACTGTAATAGATCTCTTGTGCTTTCTGAAACAAAATAAATTCCACGGATTGATAGACCACAAATCCTAGCGAAAGAACGTTGATTCTTTACTAGAATGATATGTGACATACCAAATACACTGCAAGAGTTCAAGATAATGTAAACTTATTCTACGTAGATTGGACCAAACTAAAAATTAAAGCTGAAGATAATCCGGGTTAACTTTAACATTGGGACATCAAAGACGTCAGTCCCACGTGACTATGGGTAAAGCTCCCGTCGAGAATTAAAAATAAGAAAAATTAAATGTGATGAAATCCGTAAAATAGTTTTATTTAATATGTAGTGTTCGTGTTAATGAAAGAAATAATTATGTTTATTTAAATAATAAGTTTTTCGTATTCTTTTGGC